TTCGAGCGTCGCCGCGGCCTCGCGGGCGGGGCCGACGTACACGCTAACGCCTTTGGAAAGCACCAAAACCTTATCAAAAAGATTAAAAATTTCCTGCGAAGGCTGGTGAATGCTAAAAATCACGATCGGGTTGAACGCGAAGAAGTAGGGCGAGTAGGAACGCATCAGGGAATCCTTCGCGAGCTTGACCAGGGCCTCCATCATGCGCTTCGCGCTCACGGCGTCGAGGCCGCTGGTGGGTTCATCCAGGAAAAGAATCCGCGGGTTCGCCAGGAGCTCGACGGCGACGGAGAGCCGGCGATGCTCCCCCCCGCTGATCCCCCGCACGGGACTTCCCCCCCCTCCCACCATTGTCTGCTCGCACGATTGAAGTTTAAAAATGTGAATCATATAGTCCACAATATGATCGAGGGTGCGCTGGGGGAAGGCCGTCGGCAGTTTTAGGCGGGCGGCGTAGGCGAGGGTCTGGCGTACGGTAAGGGCGGGCAAAAGCATATCCTCCTGGGAGACGTAGCCGATGATATTTCGATATTGCCAGGCGTGGGCCCCCGTCGTGGGGATTCGCGTCCCGTTAAGCCGCACTTCGCCCCCCACGATTCCCAATTTGGTGCGAACCGACAAGATATCCAGCAAAGTCGTCTTTCCGGATCCGGATTGCCCCATAACCGCCATGACCTCCCCGGAGCGGACGGTGAGGTGGATTTGATGGAGAATCACGCGAGTGCTGAGGTCGTCGTCGGAAAAGGCGCTAAAAAAGGGGGGTCTTAGGGTGTACTGAAGCCCTTCCACCCGAAGTTCGAGCGAGGAGCGCATCAGGGCGCGGATTTTGTGAACTTCCTCACGGTTGTCAAAAGAGAAGGAATCCATCAGCCGTTTGGCGATGCCGGTTGTGAAAATTCCACCGGACCGACTGCGCCCCGTGCGCCGCCGACGGGAGGAACTCCCCAGAAGCCGCTCGGAGGCCTCTTCATGGGAAGAATCCAAGATTTGGTCAGCCTCGTCGCTTTGGTTTTGCAAAGGTGGGGTCGCGAGGGGAGGCGAGGCCGAGCGAAGGTCGTCGTGTAGGGGCCCTGTGGCGACCGGCAGGCTCACATTGTCCGCCTCGTCATCGTCATCGCCCTCCGTGATGAGCGAGGCCTCGACGTGGAAAAGATGCAAAAATTCTTTGATGCGCTCCTTTGAGCGCTTTCGAAGGTAAAGCCAATGAAACAGCACCCCAACTAGTGAAAGATTGGCGCCCACGAAGAGTGTTTTTAGAAACAGGTGAAGCTTCGAGGTGGTGGTAGTGCTGTCATCGTCGTCGGGGTGGATTGGGAACTGGGATTCGTCGACGCACTCCGCTGCCTCGCAGTCGACATCAAAAACGAGCATGATGTCGGTTAATGTCAGCTGGCATCCACCGGAGGCGCTATTGCATTCAATACTAACCCCATTTTGAATCGAAGGGAGCACCTTATTGACCAGGATATCGCTTTGGGAGCATATGGGCTCATAGCGCCCCGGTGGGTCCTCGGCGCAGGCACAGCTTGTTTTTTCGCATTCGTAGACCACCACGTCATCCAGGTCGGTGGCGCGCATGCACAAAACCATAATAAGAATGTACAAGGTCGCCGTTATGCACAACGCGCGTCCAATCAGCATCGTCAAACGGCTGAGGTGTTTATACCCCAAAGAGCGCGAAATGGTACCGAGCAGCACCAAAGCCATACAAAGCCCGAGCATCACCACCCTTCCGACTACGCCAACAACCGCAAAGACGTCGTCAACCCACGTGCGAGGTTTACCTTCGGTTTGGCCGTTCGTTCGCGTTTGGGTGGTGTGCCGCATGGCGCACCGCGAGGTCTCGCAGCGAAAAAAAGGATCCACAAACTCCCCCGCCTCCTCAACGCGGTAAAGCGCCATATGACACCTCCCGGACTTCCCCGCACTAAATGCCTTATGGTCGTCTGTCGAGCAGTTTAGTAGGATGTCCACCGAGATATTGCGTCCGCCACTCAATATATCGACAAAATAGGAGGGCTTCAGGTGGCATTGGAACTGCTTACTATTCCCTCGGATCGCAATGGAGCGATCGCACCCCACGCCCTCCCCCCCGCAGGCGCCATCACGCCTACAAAGTTGGCAATTCAGGCCCTCGAAATTCGCCCCATCGCAGTGATCGCAGAGCTTGGTTGTGGAGTTAACAGGTAGGACGTGGGAGGGGCCTTTGCCGTTCACCGAGTTGGGGCACTGCCGCTCCGCGCAATCGAGCCCTGTGTAGTAAATCGGGCAAAGACAATGGTCGCCCTCGGCCTCGCCGCCGTTCGTGCAATTCCGAGATTGGGAACGATCGGCAGAAAAAAGCGCAGGAGGCTCGCCGGATGACCATCCCACTAACTTGGATCTATCGAGGGATTGCAAGAAGCGATCCACGACGTTGAGCGGTGGAAAGGGAGCCGAATATTTACGATGGGGGGCGCCCCACTCGATGTTTTCGGCTCTCGAAGTCGTTAAGAGGATGGGAAGGAGTACCAAAAGCGTCAGGGCAAGCACGCCGTAGTGGAGCTGAGGTATCCATCGACTACCTTTCCCTATAAGTGCCCCTTTATTCATAATAGTTTCGCTTATAAGGATCTACGTTTTTTTATTGTGTATAAATAAAATTCCCTTTAAGTGTTTAGATCGTTTGTATATCGTGTGATAATAAACTAAGATAAACGAAAATCTAAAGGGGAAAAGGTCTGCATAATCTAGTTTCGGATTTTATCATAACTCACTCCCCCCCCCACACACAAAAAAAAAAAAAGCATGGGGATATTTAATGGTAGCCTTTTTAGATATATTTATTGTTCCCCAGAAAAAAAAATAAATGAGCAAATATGTATTACCTCACACATTCCCCTTTCGTCTCAATTACAATAGTATCTTCTAAAATGGCCAAATATATTTTTAATGCCTCTAAGGATGTTGACTCAAATTATCGACATTCGAGGTGTGTGGAGATAAAGCCATGAAAATGCAGGAAAATAAAAATGGCTATAAATACCCGAGTTTGTACTGGATTTAGATTAATAGTTGATATTTTTTGATGTTGAATTATCGTTTTTCTTTTAATTTCATCAACGAGCGCACACCAACCACAGAGCAGTACATCACGCTAGTACAGAATATGTTTTTATAATTCTCACAGATGGACTTCTCTTGGAATCTGTACACGTCCAGAACTTGTGTGGTATTGTCAATGAAAGGGTCCGTGAGCTATGTGCGTGAGAATTAAATGTGGCATGGGTTAACCTAGTGAATTAATACACGCCAAAAGTCAATCACGTCTTATTGTCTCATTTTTAGGATCAGAACAATTTTAAAATAGTAGCTAATAATTATATATTACGATAGTAATTATAAAGGAAATGTAGGAGGAGGATTTTTAATAAAGCTTCTATATTATGTCAATGCAACTACAAGCATCGAAAATAGAAGCGTTCTGATTATATCATTATTATTAGTTTTTCCCTCGTACCACCAGATGTTGCTCAAGAAATTTCTAATGGTGGCAACAATCGAAAGTATAGTTGCATAAAGTTTATAATTGCACATCGAACACACGAAAGCAGCAGAGTTCAAAGATACTTCACCAAGTCAGGACGTGAGAAGCTTGTACACGTCTTCGGAAATGGGTGAAGCCAGACTCCACGTCAGCCGCGTGATCGCGCCACCCCTTGGTTTACCATCATTTTCAGAGAAGGCTTCAGTTGACTTTGTCAAGTCATTCTCATCTAGTTGGAGTGAAGTAGCTTCTTCACGAGAATAATATTCTTTACCTTTTGAATAAAAGATACCGATCAAGCCACAGAGTGTTTTACGCACCACTTCCGCCGTATCGTTTGAGAGCCGCCGGGCGTCACTTGAATCCTCTAAGGCGTAGAGAAGCGAATCGAGTTGGATAGCCCAGACGTGGCGGGCCCGAGTAGACGATGCGATGCCCATGCCGGACGATGGCCCGGGTTGATTCCCCAGCGTCAGGTCCATCAGCGTCGAGAGCGTAAAAATCACCCGGTCGTCCGAAGGCTCCGTGACCCGCGTGACGCCGTTGGCGGTGTAGGGCGCCTCGAGTTGGGCCTTGGCCTGGCCCAGGACCTCGTGGACGCGGCGCAGGCCCGCCGCGGTGCCGGCCGCCGGCGAGGAGAAGCAGTCCTCGAGAAACCCCACGTCCATGAGGAAGAACACGCGCCGGCGGAGAGGCAGGTTGGCGTAAATGAGGTTGGCGTCCATGGGGCGGCTCCCGTGACTTCGGAAACTTTGTGAGGGAATCAAATGGGAGTCGCCGAGGATGGATACCGTCGCACCCTTTGTGGTTTTTCTTAAGGCGGTTTGGTATCTTTCCTATCCGTGGTATTGCCTCTATAATAAGTGACTTACTTCTTTCTGGGGAAGGCGAGGGGAGGGGGGGGATGAAGAAAGTGATGAAAATATGGGGCACAAGCGGAGTAGGGCAACCCTGCAAATGCAATAAAGAAATTTTAAAGAAACATAAATTACATTTTGCAATAATTAGACATCTCTACTAAAAGAGAGAGTAGAAAAAAGGCGTTCATATATTTTCGTAGAATTCGTTCAAGACCTCCATGATGCCTCCTATAGTCGAAGATTTTTTGTCTCCAACAGACATTAGCTAGCAAGATCTATCCAAAAGCGATAGTCAATTCCGTCTTCTGAGGATTCCTCGTTTTGTAAAGTATTGAGAGTTTCATTACTTGACATCACTATAGTATCCACCACTTGAGGCGTAGCTCTCGGGGTTTTTTCTTTGTCCTCTATATCTATGGTGTTGCTTGAGTTCTTGAGGTCCTCACGTGGCAGCTTGGCAAAATGCTCAGGAACCACAATCGGGTCCACCGCGCTAGCCATCAGCTTTTCTTCATCCACGCTGACCGGCATGCGCACTAAATCTACTAGGGAAAGGGCTTGAAGGTGTGAGGCGCGACTCGAAAGAGTGTCCAAACAGCGGCAGCTCAGCGCACGGAAACCGTCGAGATGCTGGGGGTCCAGCACGCCCCATTCGTGGTAAATCGCCGCGACAAAATGGTAGATCAAGCTAGTCTCTGACGGTGCGGGGGTCACGCGCGCCGCCTCGGCCGTTTCCGCCACCACCCGCACAAGTTCCCCGAGGGTTTCAGTGGGGACGAGCGTCGCGGCCACGGCGGCGAGGTGGATGAGGTGTATTCCCCCCAGTGGGGCCCGTGGCAGCCCTAGGCCCTCGTCAAGCAGCCGGCTCAGCTCCACAATCTCTGCCATCGCCGGCCCCAGAAGAGGCCCGACGGCCTCCTCTTTCAAAGGGAGCGGCCGCACTAGCTTTTGCAGGCCCTCCCGCAGCTTCGTCAAGCTCACCAAAGGCACCCTGCGGATGAAAGCTTCCACTCGCTGCGTGGCATTACCCTCATTGGTGTCCTTCTTGGTATTGCGGCTCTTGATGTCATTGCGGTCCTTCTTGCCGTTGGTGTTCTTCTTGCCATGGGTATTCTTGTTTCCATTGGGGTTGTCGAGCCCCAGCTCGGCCTCCGCGAGGCGCTCGAGGCAAAAACGGAAGATCGCCTCGATCTCGCCGCGGCGAAGGCGTAAATGCGCCGCGCGCGCTTGACGCGCCTTCGCGCACGCGAAGTACTCGTGCAGGGCCCAATACAGCGCGGCGGGGTTGTCGTTGTTGGGGTCTCTCTGCAAATGCTGAAGGACGACGCGCGATATGCGCAAAAGCAACGCACTCAAAACCCTTTCGGCCTGTGAGGGCTCGACCGTGGCGTTGCTATCCGTTGATACGGTGCTCATGGCCTTTTCAGTTCATTTAAGACAGGGGTTGTGCACGTCCTATGTAGCTATGTGTGTAAACCTCGAAATTGAGAATGCTGAAACTCATGCAGTTCAATTGATTTGAAGGATATTGGGCGCGTTTGGAAAGAAAAAGGAGGGTAAAGCTATGGTGGATTTGTACATGTTTGCCAACTCGTACATGTGAGTACGTAAAGGAGTATGCACTTGAAGTATATCATAAATCATTGAGAATGGTTGTTTTTTTGATAAAAATTTTAAGGTAATATAGATATGTATGTATGAATATATACGTATCAATATTGATTTAACTTCACAAAGGATTCCCTGATATGAATGTAGAATGGAAACACTGAAAATATGGATGAAATAGTTTATACAACATTGCCCCGACTATTTCATCTAGGTTTGTTTCAGCTAAAATCCAAAAGAATAAATTCAACCTGTGTATAATCAAATATTTTTAAATATTTGATTTAAGACCTTAGCAGGTATGGTTATGATAGCAAGTGTTTTATGCTTAAACAGGTTTTCACTTACAGAACAGGAATAAGGATAAGATCTTCTTCTGAGCTTCACTCTATGTGGAGGGTAATAAGATGTAAAATTACTTAGCACACCAACACATAAATTCAGCACCATAGTATTATAGCAATTTTAAAAAGGATGGCTTAGATTTATTTGGAATTCTTCTTATTTTACATATTTACTCGAAAACGCTACAAAAATTACGCGCTATAAAGGAACACTTTCCTTATCCAGAACTACCATTCTCTCTATATGTTGCAAGCAAAGAGATTCTCCATATTTTTTTTTTGTTCCCTCCAACTGTACACATTCAAAGTAAAATTTAGTTATCAAAATCCACTTACAGAATATAGCTCTCCAACTGAAGCTCAACGGAAGAACAAAAAGGAGATAAAAAGTCTTTATATAGAACCATAATTTTTTTTAAATAAACCCAAAAGATAATAACAATGAGAATCCAGTCCTAAGTTTCCTTTAACATACAATACCAGAAATTTTTTCTTTATTTTGTAACTATTTTATCTTATGTTTACCTATTCTCAACACCTCAACCTTGTGTGTGGTTTATTTTTACCCTTAAAGGATTCCACTGCATTATATCCAACTTATATAGGACCAAGAGGTGAAACCCATAAAAATGAATGAATAATACAAACGGGAAAGAAATTAATAATATGGATTTTATGAGACCTTCTTTTTAAAAGATTGTGGCTTAAGAAAAAAAAATCATCAAGAACATGGAGTTAAGGGGAAAACCCATACATAAATATTGTCAGCTCGTAAGGTTTCCTTATTTTCCAACCTTATAGCAGAAACGGATGAAACAAAAGCACGAAGGGCGACAACGTGTCGAGTCAATGCTAATAATCAAAATCACCAAAGTTGTCGTAGCTGCTCCACTTTTTGTCTAAGCCTTTTTTATGTTTTCCCTTTCTGGAACCTTGTCGATGATCCATTTGGTAGTCCTCGCGGGTGAGACTTTCTTGTGAGGATCGAGAGCAGAGGTTAAGGCAGCTCAGGCCTTTGACTAACCGTGGGCTCGCAGTACCGTTGCTACGCACACCGTCCTGACCACGACGCTTTAGAGTATTTAGGAGTTCCTTCGGATCCCCTTTTTCATCCATCCCCACCTCGATTCCCCGTTTTGCGATAGCCTTCTGCAACGCCTCCTCGACGGTGAGCTCGGTGGCCGCCAATTCATCGGCGGACTTGTGCAAGTTGAGGGTCTCGCGATGGAAGAGGACCTTCGAGGCGTCGTAGGCCCTGTCGTTCTTCCCTTTCCCCATGATTGTCCGTTGCAGCCAGAGGGGGTACTCTTCCACGAAGGACTGCTTCCACCGCACCCGTCCGTTACATCTCGGGAGGGAGGCGGGCCGCAGTAGGCGCAGGTCGAGGGAAGGGGGGGGGTCGGGCCAGACCAGCCCCCGCCATTGCGCGTGCCAGTAACGCTGCAGGAGGCGGGTGCCCGTGTTCGACCGCGCGAGGTGCGCCGCGACGTCCCGGGAGAGACGCTCCAACTCGCAGACGAGCTGCGGCTCGCAGAAGCTCGCGACCGTCTCCCAGATAAACAGCGCCTCGGTGATCACCCGGGGCTTGGAGTGGATGGGAACCAAGGGGGGGCGCCCGTCCTCGGGGTCGTCCTCCCTTTCGGAGACGGCGTCGGAGGGGTCGGAAAGGCCGCCGGCGGGGGCCGCGTGACGCCGCAGCCTTCGATGCCGACGCCGGTTTCGCGGGCTGCCGGCGGTTGAGCTCTGCGACGTGCCTTCGTTGGTATCTTCATCCAAGGTACTCATAACGGGAAGGTGGGATAATCAGGAGGGGGAAGAGAGAGAAACCAAAATTCAAACAGAAGAATTCACCAGGATGGTGCAAACGCCAGAAAAAAAAAAGCCGCGGTGATTGGACAAAATGACAAATCTACCCGTAGTGGTTCTTTTAAGGAAACTTCCCTTTCCGCTGTGTCGGTCTATGTTAATAACACGTCAATAATTGGGATTATACAAGGAATTGATTGCTCCTATTTAATGCGTTTGTATAGGTATTTGTTCTCCTTCCTAAAACGCCATACTATAGATTAAATGAAAAAAAATAAAAAGAAAGGAATTCACAGCACTATTAGTTGTGATAAATGTTATAACCAATTAAATGTCTAAGTAAGTTGATAATATCTCGTAGGACTGCTTTGGTAAGGCAATCTCACCGCGCCACATCAGTTACGGTCTGAGTTCTTTTTTCACTGACACTTCTTCCAAAGTGTTTGCCCAAGACATAATATAAACGGGTCAACTATGTACTGATCTACAGCATGACTATTAAAGTAAGAATAGTATGAATAACTGCTTGTATATTATTTTGAACCCGCATACTACAGTTTTTTACTCTTCTTAGAAGCCACATGTATCTAAACGACTGCAATTTCTTCTTGAAAGCAACAGATAAGGGTTGGCCAGGAGGACACTACACCGACTTGAATGACCGTGATAAAAGCTGAAGAGTAAACAAACCCAAAAAAGCAAACTATCACAGCCTCTGCTCAACCTATTTACTCAATGTTCGCAATTATAAACTGCACCGTCTTATTTACAACCTTCTCCATGCGAAAATCTGTTAGAGTCCTGAGTTCTTGCAGCTGATTCTCGGTCTCACGTAAACAAGACTCTTTCTCTAAATCTGCACCGCTATTTTGTTGAATATAGTACGCTTGATACTCATCTTCTTTTTCCTTCCGAAATGCCGCCACTTTCTGCTCTGAGTCTAATTTAGCTTGCTTCAACTTCTGCTGTTTGCGTGCCTTGGCCTCGGCTATCATTCGATTACGTTTCTGCTCCGCTGCAAGGAGCTTTTGGACGTTATCTTCTTTCGGGGGCATTCTTTTGTGGTAGGTGGTTAGAAATACCAAGCGCGGGAAAAAATATTTCGACAAGAATGAGGAATATATATATATAAATGTATTTTTATACGGCTAAGCTTAGCAAATGAAATTTTTTTTAAAAGGTGTCAAGGTACTTTCATTCATTAAAAAGAGGGTGGTGTAGTATGAAAAAAAAAGTCAACAGAATCTTTCTATTGGATATCGCATATGTATCGCTTGTAATTTAATTATGAACATCTTTTCGCAATTCAAGTAGGATATTTATGAATATTGTGCATATCAGATTGTGCCCACAGGTCACATATTTTTCCATATTATAATTTAGACAGATCCACACGATCGAACAGTACAGTAATGTTTTACTAAATATTGTCTACAGGAATAAGCTCAACTCTACCAAAATCACATCACCACTCATAAGCTGCTTACCTAAGCCATTGTTCTGGTGAGTAATTCAGGGAAGAAGTCAGTAACACTTAGTATCCCTTTCAAACCCGGGGTAGAAAGCTTTGCGATCAGAATAGGGCACCTGCCTTCGTTAGATCATAAAAATAGTATTGTGATTGGAAAAATGGAGAGAGTTTGGATAAATCACTTATACACACAATGATATTCAATAAACATTTCACTTTTTAAAAAGTAATAATCTGTTCACATATAAAAAAGAAAAAGTAAAAAGTAGATACACACGTAGTAAATCTAAAAAGCTAATTTTTTAATAGTTTTAGCTATATTACCAAAAAAGTTCAATAATAGATTATACATTAATTCGTCAAAGTTTTTATTACTAGTAAGTTTATAGCATTTATATATCTTTAGATATATGGCAAACAATGAGATTACATATTAAAAAAAAGGAAATATTTATATATTAGGGGAGTATACGTCACCTTAAGGTTCAACGGCGCAGTATATATCGTTACACATATTCTTCCCTATGAAATAAGAAGCAACTACAATAATTACAGGTCATGAGATAGAAAGTGCCATTTTATGAAAAACACAAGCATTTGTGCAAATACCATTCTAAACTGTTAATATAAACAATCTAAAACTAGCAAGGAAAAATAAGTCATCGATAACAGCCCAGTGTTAAATTTCCGATGCGGAAATAGATGATATATTAAGTTTATCGTCCTTTTGACTAATTCCCTTAAATGTAAATTCTATACTTTACATTACCGATCAGCTATAGGCTCATCGGCTTCACATACAGCAATATTCACATAACTAATGATATTTATGTTTACGTGTATGCACACGTACACAAAAATATTTTATATATCCTTCACCCTTTTTTTTTACATTAGAAAACTCGAAAAATCTGCTAAGTAAATAAATCCAACGACTATGATGTAGTAGTGTGTCTTACCAAGGGCTTAATGCAGTTCCTATATTCCCAATGTATTTTATCATGGAGTTCATTGCTTCTAAAACAGATGAAACTTTACTTCGGACATTAGACGAAGTGCCCACCTACGTCATTTTTGCTATTCCATCCGTTTCAGAAGTTGAGCGTCGAAGGTTCAACAGAAATTAAATCGGGAGGGGGAGGGGGAGGGAGAGGAAGAGGAGGAAGGAGTACACGTCTTGCTCACTAGCCGCGCGCGCAGGTGTTCACGGTAGAGCTTCCACTTCGACTCGAGCTTCTGGGATGAGAGAAGGTATGGTGGTAACATATAGAGCTTCCCGTGCGAGAGATTGTCGATTTGCCGCCCGGTAGCAAACGTGCCCAGCATGATCCCATCGGCTGACCACAGGCACACCCGCTGGTCGAGGCCGCTTGTGATAAGCATGGGAAGGTGCTCGCAGGCCTCATCGTCGTCTACACTCACTCCCATTACAGGGCACTGAATTGTTGTACATTTCATCGCAGATATGCAGTTTTCATGTGCATGCCAGAAAGTAACCTCCTTTGGTGCATAGTTTCTATACGTACCGCCATCACCGCTCCGATATTTTTTCGACCTAGCGGAATTCAGAGGATCCACAGCGGGTCCCAACAAGAACACCAGAATGTCCCAAATATGCACATACCCGTAGTTATCCGCAAGTGCGACGATGCCCTCCACATTCAACCACACAATATGCAATATGATAACCCTCAGTGTAGTGCTGTTCGAGACCGGCAAATGCGAGACCAGCGGCGGAAGCGATATATTGTTAGTGACCTTATCCGATAAGCACCAGGACAACGTGTGCGTCAAAGGCCCCCCCCGGTCTCCCCGTTGAGGTGTGACCCCCCCCCCTAGGGTTAGGGTTGGTATGCCCATACCAATGCCACGTCGGCTCCTCCTTCGTTCGCTCGCCCAAGGGACGCCACTCCGCGAGGACCTCGTAGTCCTTCGTCCGTGTCACGGTGGGGTTGAAGTCGGAGGCCCAGGAGTTCCGCTTGTTCTCGTGGGAGAGGGGGGTCTGTTGCAGAGCAGACTGGCCCAACAGGACGCTCCCTGTGCCGTTGGTGACCATGAAGAGGAGGTGCCCGCCGTTCCCCTCCCCCCTCCCTCCCTCCCCTCCCCC